ACATATGTTTATTACTGAATGACTGACGAGTTGATCAATCGCTAAACATTAGCTCTTATATCACCTTTTTCTCTGTAGTTTGACTTCGACAAATATGTTTGGTTATACTAAATAAATGGTACAAAATGCATCCTTGTCTATTTGAATTTTGGCGCCTGTCTGACTGTATTATTTTATTGATACAGAAACATGAGGGGTTTGAATATACCTAAATTTGTAGGTCTTAAATCCTTAACATGACAGAGCTGAGCTAGTTTGGGAAACAAAAAGGTTCGGGTTGAGGGAACTGCCAAGTTATGTGTACATTGGAAAAGTGAAGGCACAGCCTTGACTAAAATCCTAATCATCCATAATATAAAAGTAAAACCCCTGGCTAGATCACTTTCCCAAACTAATGAGATAACTTCCGTGAATTTAGCTATAGGAATGGGAAAATTGGTTCCATAGCATCAAAAGATCATCACTTTGGATATTGCCATCAGATATTGGTGTTCTGTAAAATACAAGGGACATAATGAGTCCGTTTCAAATTCTAGCACTCTGTTACCTCGCACAAGACTGCAGGCTGTTCTCTGCTCCATTTTGAGCTGATGGATGAGGGAAAGATTTTTCCCTTTGGTCGTTGCACTGAAACTTGAGCATTGAGAACGCGTTGGTCAAACAGATTGACCATGGCTGCACTCACTGGCGGTGATGTCGACCCCTACGGCAGCCAGCGACCGACATGGCTCGCCGCGCTGATGATTCGCAGGGGGAGGCTCTGGGCTGGTGGCTCGAAGGAGAGGTTGGTAGCACCGTAGCGGCACTAATACGTGACAGCAGTAGTGTCATCCTCAATTCCAGCGTGGTCTGTGAGGGTATCAATGTAAATGGGGTTCAAATGAAGCACGGAGAAGTGAATCACAGGGAATCATGAGGAGGGGGAGGACTCCACAGTGTGGCTGGAGGACTAGGGTGCGGTGCCGCTGGAGACGGAGACGGTGGCAGTCTGTGGCATCGGCACAGTGGGCTGAGTTTGATGAGCCCCTCAATGTCCAGCGCTGCCAGGAGGCCATGGCCTGCCTGCAGTGCAAGATGGCTAATGTCAAAATGGAGCTCTGCCAAATCCTCCGCTTTGTCTACGAGAAGATGGTGCTTGACGGTGGTTGGCGCCATTGGCGGATCCAGGCCCCCCGTGAGAGTGATTTTGCTTTGTATTTACTGTAGAAAAAAACGTGATTTCACCATTAATCTTCGACATTTGTTCTAAATCTCTATTGATTAGCCCCCCCCCGAGGTGCTCATCTTGGCTCCGCCACTGCTTGGCGCCACTGAGATCTAGTAGTTCCACACACTCTTGGCCCAGCATGCACGTCTGCTGGTGTGACTCCACGCAAGGGGCCCCGAGTATCGGCTGCAGTTACTCCACCTTGGCATCATAAAACCCAAGTCTGTGGATGACTACGTTGATTGTGATGTGGCTACTACCTTGAGTTCGCTGCCACGAGCCCACGGGGAGTACTACCATGAGGACGAGCCGGAGGAAGAGGATGCGGTTATGCGTATTGCCTGCTCCTTGCCTTGGTTGTTTTCCTAGGCACAGAAAGCAGCAGGGAGATGTGCTTCCGTAGGCGAGGGCTAGCATTGCCTGATTTAACACCATTAGGACAAAAGTAATGGAGTGGTAAATTTGGAAAGCCTCATTCTTGCCATGGTATCTTACAGAATGTTGATTGATGGTATTTCTGAAAGCGGTTGTCTTTTGATGCTCTGGAACCAATTTTCCTTAAAATTGCCACTGGGTGTTGGAAATAAAATATTTGACTATACATTGCAGATTTTCTTTGCCAGATTACAACTATGTCAAGAAGGATAAGCTTGACTGTGATTAGTTTTCACTTCTCTTCATGTATAGAAGCTAGTAATGGAGCCGGATAACTTAATGTGTGTAAAAGCATAATGTTTGCAGCATAAACATTAGCTAATTTTTTTAATATTGTTTCTCTCTTATCATTTTTATTGTCAGTTTTTTTTTCATATTTGCTTCGTAAGTTTGTTAACACTTGCTTATGCCGTAACAGAGGGCGCAAATGGAATCCTCTTAGGCAGAGGTTAGATAGTTATGACTACACAGTTGAACAGCACGTTGTTGGTTCCCTGCTGTTTACACCAGTCCTACTTCTTATACCCACAACTTCTGTATTCTATGTATTCTTCTCTATCTTGACAACAACGGTTATCTGGGTGTGTGTGATGCTGGAAATTGTCATCGCTGTAATCCAATCCACTCCTTATGCTGAGTTAACTCTATGGATGATGAGGAGGCACAGATTTCCTGCTGGATTATTTTTCCTTCATGTGCCATCAAGTGGACATATCTTCTGAAGATGGTGACCTATCAGCCCATCCAACCAGATGTTGCAATGAAAGGAGAAAGGAGGATCTAATCGACAAACTATCAGAATCATTAGTTTCAGAACTTCATTGCAGCTATGCCACTCTTGGTAAAATGTTTCTCTTGACTTTTGCTTAGACCATTCTTAGTTGAATGGTTGATACATTCTTTGTTCGGTACCTAATTCTACAATAAATGTCAGCAGCAACATGTCCATGTTGTTCTACATGCCTAGTTTCTGTTTATTTGAATCATATATATATATATATATATATATATATATTAAGATGTGTAGTTTAGAACAAACTGAAGCCCAAATGTAAATAGCTTGCCAAACTTTTGAATAGTTCTATTTTGCAGCCTACCTTTATGTTCATATCACCAATAGTGTGCTTACTTTTTGTCAATAGAATGCATCTTGCAGAGGCACTAGCCTGCAGTTGCTCTTTTGCTGTTCCACTTGCTGGTAATCTTCCTAACATAAAGGATGATATATGCAGTTCAAGTAATCAGATCAAATTACGAGAGAGTTTTCAACAGGACTGGTTACTCCTTTTGCAAACAATTGGCATACGGGATCCTTAGCGGTGAAAGGTAATCTATCAGTTTGATTTTTACCGTTTTGATGGCATTTGTTTTAAACTCCTTGTTTCTTTCTTCAGGGTGCCTTCATCGCTGCATCTTCAGCCGTCTCCCTCATTTCCCTGGATGAACATTGGTATTACAGAGTATTGGATGCACTGCTATGTTTCTGTCCTTCAGTGTGCACCAAAGAGGTGATTCAATGAAGTTTTGCATTAGCCTTCTGTTTTTATTGCTTAATTTAGCAACATGATGAAAATTTCTTGTCCCATCTTTTGTGCAACACTAATATGGCAAAAATAGTAATTTTTTACCGCATGCCACCAAATTTTTATCTGGTCATGCTCGTCTCTATACACCAAATAAGCATAGTATGAAATATATTTCATGATGACTCTAATGATACTTATCTTGTATTGTAAATAACTAAATATGAATACTTTTTATGTAAACTTAGTCAGGTTTTAGATGATTTGATTTAGGGCAAACTAGAATGACTTTCGTTTTGGAAGGGATGGAGTATTCAGCTGTCATACTGGAACCTTCATGCATGCATCAGCTTTTATACCACTAGAGTTGTCACATTTGAGCTGATCCATTTTCTCATATGATTGTCATACATTCCATGTCTTGTTATAGTTTTGATTTGCAGTTTGGATTTACGAACAAGATCTCACCAATTGCTGATATTTTCAGAGGTCCATGACGATTGCATTTGAATGAACCTTGGTTCTTTTCTGCGGTTTTGGTTTCACTAGAGGTTTTTTATTGTGGTGGTTGACTGTTCTGGAGGCAAGGGAGGGTCATCTTTACACTCATGGAGCCTTTTTCCTTTTAACAGTAGCAGTACGAGGTTTTAAGTCAGCTGTAATTTTATAGTTATATGGGATTTGCACGATTATGGTGCTGCTATTTGACACTTGTGTGCTAGCTGTGTTTACCAACTAGACTGATGGGTGAGAGAAAAGACTCATGCTCTGCTGCAAAGATGCCTTGGTCAAACCTCATTGTTGGTCTGGCATGCTGGCACCCGTGGTAGCAGGATATTTTCTTTTCAAACATTTGGGGCTACCTGACCTTGCTTACCCAAAAAGCCGAGTAGCTTTATTAACTTGATATACTATGCGTTGGTGATATTTTGACAATGTATACGAATCGAGAAGTCGTAGCGTTCTAGCGAGCTGTCCAATTTTCCACTTGAGATAATTCGTTCGCGGCCCGTAAATAAAAAAAAATAAGAAATAAGACCGTGCTGAGGATGTCATTTATTACTATGAGACTTTCAAACAAGTTTAGAAACCATAAAGGTGCATTTTAAGAGTTTAAAAACTTTAATGCATGTTCACTGCAGCATTTGCGTGGGGAAAAAAATCTGCATGTGTGATGTAGAAAATCTCACAGGCAATGCTACTGTTTTGCTGCCATCAACCGGTCCTAACTCGGCTTGATGGAGCACTGTGCTCCGTGGAAAGTTCAGGCGGCAGCCTCGACCATGCATGGATCTAAGAATCAGTGGCATACAAACAACCGGCGGATCTAAGAATCAGATGGCATACAACCGGTGTCGCTCTGTTGCATGAGAGATTTTCCACGACACGCATGCAGAGAACTTTTTTCCTGGTCGCTAGCCGCATAACAGCAGAGAATTTCTTTTTCCCTGGTCGCTAGGCACAAGTACTCGTTAAGTTTGATAAAAGAAAAAGAAAATATAATTAGTATTTATCGTAGCAAAAGAGGTTCTGAAGGTAGGGAGACATAATAATCACATAATCAGGAGTATGTGGACTGGACTCTAAAGATCCCCGAGTCTCAACCTGTACGGATATGTGCGAGGGACTCAAACCTCTTCTATAAATTCACCCGACCCCAGGGCAAAAACCTCAATGAAAATATTGTGTGCAGGCTGCAGCGACACGATTATATAGCGAGAGAAGAAAGAAACGCGAGCCGGCAATCTCGTCGACAACTCGGAGAGCGACACGCGAGTAGTACTAGATCAAGAAGAAGTTGAGCGAGCGAGGGACCAGCTCGTGGACTCGACGAGATGAAGACGATGATCATGTTGAAGGACACGTTCATCTTTTTGACGAACGTGATGGCGTACGAAGACGGAGAGAAGACGACGCGGAACACGCTGGAGGTGGACTCCAACGACACGATCTACAGCGTCATGGCCCAGGTGGAGGATATGACCGGCGTCCCAACCGTCCTGCAGATGCTCTCCTTCAACGGCAAATCCTTCTACCACGACACCCCCGGGACGCTGGCGGCGAACGAGCTGGTGCCGACCTACCCGGATCCCATACTCGTGGAGTACACCGACCCGTGCAAACTGGTGCAGCACATGCTCCGGAGGAACACGCTCAGGAGCCTGGGATTCCGCGTCGACGACGACCTGTTCCCCGACGCGTCCGTGATGCTGCAGCTGGTCCGCCATGGCGACAAGAAGATGATGATCTCCCTGACGGACAACATCAGGATGGACGGAGCCGGGAGGAGGATGGTGCTGGTGGTGGAGCCCGGGGACACGGTGGCCAGCCTCAAGGAGCAGGTGCAGCGCAGGCGGCGCTACCCGCTGGCCATGCAGGAAATCAGGGTCAGCGACGCCGACAACCCGTATATGGGCAGGCGGATGGATAGGCTCGACGCGACACTGGCGGACTACAACGTGAAAAAGGACTCGCTCATCAACCTGTATATGAACATGGGCTTTGCCGTCCAGGGCGATAGGGGGGAGCGGGGGAAGGTCTTTAACAAGGCTAAGGAGATCGCCTTCCCCGGCGAGCAACAGCGGCCGACCGCCGACGACCAAAAGTGACCCGGCCGGATCCGGCTACCTACGTCGTCTTGTCTTTTCACACAGGGTGGAAGTTTTCACAGGGTCTGGTAGTTACGGTTATATTATTCTATCTATCTAAAATAGTAAATAGTAAGATACTAGTATACTAGGCGGACCCTAATAGCTTTTCTCCGAGCGTTTGCTCTTTATTTCCGCACTTCTCCTATATTTCCTGTGTCTGAATTTTAAGATGATTTCAGACAATATTATTGTACCACCAACTAGTATAAGTAAATTGTTACTTTTATGATTTATTGTTTTTTGTGTGTCATAACATATTAATTTTTTTCCGTGTCTACCTATAAAAATAATTGTAAATTGTTGATTGTCTTTGTGAGATTTTGTTGGGTTTTTTATTTGTCTAACTGTTTTTTATTTTCAATATCGAAAATTGCAGATTACGCCTATAAAAATTACAGTAAATGAAATATGTAATTTTAATTTCAAATATATGCAATAACCGTGATTTGAAAGGTGAGTCTCTTATTTCCTTTAAAAGCCTAATGGACCGGTCAGGTTGTATCAAAATTATTAGTAAGCTTTATTTATTTCCGTTGAAAGCTAGCCTAATGGCGGAATCTTGGCCTCAGGTCGGACCTTCTAATAATAAATCAATATAATAACCATATAAACGCACGCCGCCGTCAATATGATGGCTGCCCGTCGTCGGAGCGAACAGTTACACCACAACAGTCGAACTGGACATGGTTTCCCGGGTGGATGCCCGTCGTCGGCCGTCGTCGGAGCGATCGAACAAGTACCCCACGGCGCCGTGGTGGTGGTGCGCGGGCGGCGCGCCGAACGTGAGATGTTGACACCGTGGAGTCGTGGTGCTATAGGCCAAGCGTGAGGGACACGCCGCCGCCAAAGCCCCCAGCATGGTGGCCACGCGTCATACTTCAACCCTGCTTTGCGTTCATACGTACGGCCACGCCTCCATGTAGTAGCTCGCGCTGGATACGTCGTCTTGGTGATGAGCTGAACGTTGCTGGTCTGACCCAGCGCGTTCGAAGGTGTCCAGGGTAAAGGGCTTGATGTAGAGTGCGTTGACATCGACGACGTTGAGCGTATGGATGGAGAAGAAGAGTTTGTTGTTGAGTGCGGCATCGATGACCCGGAGCATGGACATCTTGGTGGGGCTTCACCATCAGTTTGAACGTATCTTATGTACATATATGTGCGTACAAAATTTCCGTGACCCTGGCTACTGGAAGGACGTGAATAAGGGGAGGAGAAGAATATTGTCTATAAAGAGGTTTTAACTCATAAAAGAGGAAATTTCTTTTGACAATATATATTTTTCTCCATAATATGTTCAACAATACTCTAGCTTAAAATATTAATAAACAGTTTATATGCAGGATATATTACCAACACAACTTGGAGAGTTGAAAGGACTGCTGGTCTTGCCGAGTCAATAACCTTAGGATACCGTTAAGAATGTGTGTCATTTAGACGTGTCGGAGGATACAGCTAGAACATAATTGCTTCTCTCAGATCTAGCCATGTGCAAAATTAAATTTGTAATATTGATGTTCCAAACATCACGTTTGAAAATTATTTTTTAACAATATATCACATGTGTTTTCGTACTTAAATGATCGTTCCATTACTATTCTCCCCTACAACGCATGGGCTTTTATCTAGTAACCATATTAACACGTCAAAGTACTCCTAATCATCATCATACAGCTGGCCCCCGGTCGGTCCGAGCAGTTTCCCCCGCACTGCATCCGTTTTTTTCTCACAGCGGCGAATGCGAACCTTTTTTAACTGGCGCTCGTAACATTGCCCAAGTAGGAGACAAATAGCGTTGTGTGAATTTGCATTTCATCAATAAACAAAAGACATCACTACCAGTTCAAAATTCTCCATCACTGTGAAGGATTTTGAACCGGCACAACCAAATCAGTAGTGATGATGAGGAGGGCTCATCACTGTCAATTTTCATGAAACCCTAAAAAATAGACTAAAGAAATAGGAAATTTCTTTTTAATACTAGGAGAGACCTCACTGGACAGCCACAGGGTCGCGCATCACAAGTCATGCAACTTTTTGTGCGAACAACACACGCTCCGCGGCCAGCAGTGCTCGAAACCACGACCTCAGGCTTCACGCGTTCATCCCCTAGCTATTACACTTATAAGACACTTGTGTTTATTTAGGATATTCGTCATTCTCATTTTACGTTCATCTAGTTTTCAAATGAGTATTTGGGACCCTAAATAAATTCAAATGAAAAGGTTGTGAACTACAAAGTTTTATCACTTTTCGAGATATACAACTTTGGTTTTGGCCATTTCTCCTTCCGAGGTCGTTTTGAAGAATTTAAATTTCAAATGTGAGGAAATTCACGTGATTTTTTTCTTGGATAGATGATTTCAAATAAAAAGGTTGTCAACTACAAAGTTTCATAACTTTTCAAGATCTACAACTTTTGTTTTGATCGTTTCTCCATCCGGGGTCATTTGAAATCGAATTTCAAATGTGACAATTCAAAAGTAATTTTTGTTGGATAGATGATTTTAAATGAAAAAAAATTGTCAACTATAAAGTTACATAACTTTTTGAGGTCTACAATTTTTGTTTTGGTCAGTTCTCCATCCTGGATACTTAACTACCACTACACACTCACTTATGACTATAGAGCATATGGCTTTCATTGGTATTGACTTCTAAAAAATCCTGTGAATCAAATATTTCGACATCAAAATGACTTCAATATAAAAAGTTATGAACTATAAAGTTGCATAACTTTTCTATATCTATAACTTTTGTTTTGATTGTTTCTCCGCCCGAGATCTTTTCCTACCACTACACACTCACTTGTGACTGGTATTAACTCCTTGTGATGCATATTTTTTTAATCCGAATGATCTCAAATCAAAAATATTGAAATACAAAGATGTAGATCTCGTTGAGTACTACAACTTGGGTATAAAGTTTGTCTTCGGAGATCATATGAGAAAGTTATGAAGTTTTTCATGCATCCTACGGTTTTTGGCTAAAACCGGCAGTGATGACCCCAATATCACTGCCGGTCGGTTCTATCACTGTTGGTTTTAGTGAAAAAAACCCGACAATGATGTGTCGATAGACACTATCACTGCTGATTTGTAAGAAACCGGCAGTGATGGGCCGGTAGTGAAGCTCAATTCTGTAGTAGTGGCTGCAAGCCACTGAAAGACACCTGCAAGATGTTGCATGCAGATGGTCCTCATAGGAGCAGCTGTAGACCAATATGTCATCAAAGAAGACTATCACAAAGCGGTGGACACCAAGCACCAATGTCGTGTTCATGGCACCTTGAAATGTGCCGGAGGGCCGGTCAAGCCGAATGCCATAATTCGAAACTCATACTGACCAAGGTGTACATGAAGGTTGTCTTGTGTTCCTTGCTGGGGTGAAGCAGAATTTGATAAAACCTCGCACATAGGTCCAAGTTGAAGAACCAACTATCGTCCATTAGTTGGCCAAACACCAAAACTGGAAATTTAGACTTGGCGATCAGCACATTGAGATGCCAGAAATCCACACAAAAATGGTACGAGCCATCTTTCTTCTTCACGAGTAGTACTATACGGGCGAAGAGAATGCATTGGCGCTTGGCTGGATGAGACAACATCTCATTGACTTGGCGTTCAATCTCATCCTTTAACCTCAACGAATAGAGGTATGGCCTGATGAACACTGGCTGAGCTCCCGCCTGTAAGGGAATAGAATGATTACACACTTGGATGGAGGTACAACCATTGGTGGGGCAAACAAGTCCGAAAAGCAGTCCACCGAGCTTGAATTTCAGCAGGCAATGGTGGCGAAGTCGCCCATCGACAGTGGTGTTGGAGACCTGACAAAGCTGAAGATATAACTGTACTGGCAATTCATCACCCACACCTTGTAGAAGAGTAAGGTTGCCTTGGTACAGTATAGATAACTACTTCTGTTGCCGGTGCACCTGCATTGAGTCGAATGCCGCCAGCCAGTCCATGCCCACGATAACATCAAAGGCCGACAAATGTAAGATCCAAGGACACACCGATGAAAGGTGTAGAACTGCCCGAGTCAATCAGAATGATGGCTGGGTGACCAGCCACTGAACTAGCGAACCTGATGGTGCGAGCAGCACTGGCACCTTAGATAGAGCCACGAATAGCTATTCTTTCGCGGTAGGTTCAGACGCCACAAGAAACAACTGCTCAGCTTCAATGAAAGATTCTCAAACAGCCTCCACAGCAAGGAACACCTTGGGAGAACATTTATTATCCTTGCTCCACTTCGCTGCACACTTGATAGGCTTTGATTGCTATCAACTTGGGGTCAGGAATTGAAGAAGATGAATATGGTGCAGTGCTCGTGGCCGTTGTCGTGACTGAAACGGCCTTATCCGAGCGCGGTGGTAGCGGTAGCGGCAATGGAGTCTTGGTCGTAGGAGACAATTTTGAGGACGAATACCAATCACCATGGCGTGATGCCTTCACCGGTGGAATGATGCCCGTCTCCTCCTGCAGCAAAGCCAGAGTACAAGCAGTATCTTTGGGACGTTGAACCAATACCACCGACTTAATATCATGTTGCCGCCCGTCAATGAAACACATATATAGTATAGTACAAGGGATTCGTGGAATTGGAATAGGCAGCTATCTGATCAATGAGCTCAGTGAAGCGAGAGACATAATCAGACATAGAGGACAACTACTTGATAGAGAACAATTGTCGAATGAGCAACTGATGCTGGTTGTGAACAAAACGATCATGTAACAGGCAGCAAATGGAGGACCACAAAGAATTTTGATGTCGAGGCTCGACAAACTGAAACCAGCGGGGCGCCGGACCTTCGAGGTGCATCTCAGCCACACCGATACACAAGGACTCATAGACCCCCCACATAGCGAAGTATTTCTCACAACGGGAGCTCCAACGACCGGGGTTCTCGCCATCAAACTTGGGAAAATATTATGAGTTAGTTACTAGATCTAGGA